AAAATATATAAAGTACACGAAAACTTAAAAAAATTAAAAATTTAAAAACCAACAAAAATAAAATATATTAGTATTACTTATAAGTAAAAATAATGCAATAATGTTAAATTGATTATAAGATAAAAATCAGCTATAGCCTTATCTCACAAACGAATAAAATATCATAATATTATACAAAATTATACTCCCTATTTACCTCTCTAAAAGCTGTTAATCAATAAACTCCATCATTATTTCCCGTTACGATAAACTCATATTGAGGAATTTTGGGACCACACAGATTTTCCCTCAAATCCTATTTTCTTGCTCACAAAGGCACACACCCTCCTGCGTGTAGATACACACACAGGGGAAAAAACAAAAAAAGCAGAGGACGGCTTCACCCCAAAAAAGCTAAAAGTGGTTCCATCTCTGAGCAGCGGCACCTCACCAATCCCGGTCGCTTTTATTTCATTCTTACATAGCCAAATTGACATCCAAAACAACAGATACTGAAGTCTTAAGAAGCTAATATAGTTGTAAAATATATATCTTTGGGATGACTGATTTGGGCATGCTATTAGGTGTTCAATTTTGGGTTCAAAGTTCAAAAGGGCACCCTACATCAATTATGTTATGTAATGAGTAATTTCACAACACTAGAACCCGAAAACAATTCACGTGTTCGCGTCACATGCTTATGATTCACAAAATAAACTAAGGTACGCGTTCACGCGACTTTGACCAAATACTTTAATATTAATTACGTATACGTACGCGTGACATGATTTTTAGCGCTCTAAATAAAATGAGCACACGAACACGTGACTCGTTTCAAGATAATTCAATAATCACGAATAATCGAGTAATTAGAAGCAATAAAAGGTAAAATACAAATGTGAGCATGTAATTTTTATATAGGACCAAAGGCGGATCTAGAATTTAAGTTTTATGGGTTCAACCTGTAAAGTTAATAGCATTAAACTCGTTGTATTCAACTAGAATTGCTCTCCTTCAAAATGAACAAAAAGAAAAAATAAGGTGTAGTGGCTGCTAATAGCCGAAAAAATATATAAATTTTATATATTATTTGTATGTTATACAGGGGCGGCTCAATGATGTTTGTGGCCTAAAGCGAATTTTATTAAGAGGCCTTAAGAAGCCTAAAGCAATATTTATATTTATTTATTTGTAATTTTTTCTTATAACTTTTTGACATACACAATTCTTCTTTTTCTTGGATTTCATTACCATCTAACTCAATAAGATCGGAGACTTGTTCATTTTAAAAACACTTTCCGATACCTTTTTATTAAACTTTATCTATTGTTTGAAAGAAATTTATTAGCAATACCTTTTTGAGGTTGTATTGAAATGTTACTCATATTTTGTTGTTGGCATGTTTAACTTCTAATTAAAAAAAAAAAAGTTAGAACGACTAAACCTGATTCCGAAAGTTGATAACTTGATGATTGATTTCAAAATAAACTAATCCATGAGAGAGTTTCGTTTCTTCAATTTGCTAATTTAAATGCTTGAAAACATGAGAAAGAATGTGAAAATAAAGGTGCAATTCTAATTATACAAGATAATTTTTTTTTTACAGAATATGCCTATGCATAGGAAGAAAATAACACAGAACATGTATTAATATGAATTTTGAAGTCATGGTCTAGAAAAGATATATGGCTTGTTAAAAATTATATATATATATATATATATATATATATATATATATATATATATATATTGTGTGTAAAGAAAAAATATTATTAATCTCAACCAACCAAATATACAATTTCTGTAATCTGTACAAACTAGAAGCAAAAGTACTTCTAGTCGCAAAATCCCTATCTAGCTTCCTCTATGATATACTAGAAAACAACTCTTCTATCCATTTCCTTCTACCATTCCCCTCTTTCCTAATATTTTGTGTATTCATTCGTATTTTGCATTCCTGCTGAATTTGTCGACATATCACCTGCGGTTTGATAACTTTATTATTCCATATCGCATCATTTCTGACTTTCCATATTTTGTATACTAATGCTGCCATTGCTGCACTTATAATTCTCCTGCACATTTTTCCTCTTACTTTCCTCATCAGTTTTCTCCATATACCAACAATATCAGGTTCTTTTATCTTCAATCCCATCCATTCCAATAAGATTCCCAAACATTCCTTTGAGAATTGACACTCAAAGTACAAATGTTGTATTGTTTCTTTGCTTCCTCCACAGATTTCACATCTTGTTTCTGAGCATACACCTATTCTTTCCAATCTTTCTCTCGTCAGTAGCCTTTTGTGAACTGCTAACCAACTAATAAAACTATGTTTTGGGACATTAACAGGGTTCCATATCCATCTAGCCCATGGCCATTCATTCAACTCCCCTTTCCTCCATTGGGATCCTTTTTGTATGGAATACCTCCCTCCTATATGCTGCCAGTCATTTCCTCTATATCTACCCTTAAACTTTTCCTTAATATGACAGATTCTCTTCCAGTACCAACTACAGTCATTAGGTGGTACATATTGATCCCAGCTGCCTTCTTTAATATACACATGATTCACCCATTTCACCACAAATTATCAGCCTTTTGAGATACATTCCACACATATTTTGTAATAGCAGCCTCATTCCATATTAAACAGTCCCTTATCCCTAGCCCTCCTTTACATTTTGGTCTGAAAACTATATCTCATGCTATTAAAGGGGCTTTGTTTGTGTGTTCCTTTCCATCCCACAAGTAGTTTCTGCATATTGCAATAAGCTTTTTCATCACAGCTTTGGGCAGTATAAAGATGGATGACCAGTAAGTATGAACCTGCAGCAACACAACATTTATTAATTGTACCCTTCCAGTATACGACATGTTCCTCGAGCTCCATGTCCTTATTCTGACTGTCATCTTGTCAATTAAGACTTCACAATCCATACTAGATAGTTTCTTTGCTGAAATTGGAACCCCCAAATATCTGAATGGTAATGTCCCTTTCTGATATCCTGTAGCTTCACATAAATCTTCCAATTCTTGCTTTGGCATTAGGAATGGCAAGCGGGGCGGTGCGATGCGGGTGCGGGGCGGGTTCTGTCTGAACCCGCGAAATTTAAACCCGCCCCGCCCCACATAGAATTTAAACCCGCATTCACCCGCCCCGCACTCCACCCGCGCTCACCCGCTCCGCCCCGCACCCGCATTTTTTTTGTTGTAAAAGTGGCACTGTAGTCATTCGGACGACTCTAACAATTAGCATCCCATTCTTGTGGGGTTCCAAATTTCAATTTTAGACCGTAAATGCGAAAGATCTTTGTTTCAAATTTGAAGAAATAAAAAAATTCATCCCACTTTAATATATTCATTTAATATAGTAGTATTATTATTAAAATAAATAAATAGGAGCAGCAGATATATTCATTTAATACTTGTGTGAACATTAATACACTAAGTCAAGTATCAAAAATATAATTTGAAAGAAAAATTATCGATAAAAAGAAGTGAAACAGGAAACCAGGAAAAAGCAAAGCATCAACTAAGCTGAACATTAGCAAAATTAAATCCCCACCCGCACCCGCACCCGCACCCGCACCCGCACCCGCATTTTTTTTAAATTTAAAAATTGAACCCGCCCCGCCCCGCTAACGTTCAAACCCGCACGGCCCCGCACCCGCACCGCCCCATTGCCATCCCTATTTGGCATGTTGGCACTGAATATGTTAGACTTTCCTGCATTAGTAGCCAGCCCTGATGCATTTGTGAAAGTTTGAAGACCCCTCAACATCAACATTACTGATTGGTAGTTCCCTTTACAGAATAACAGAATGTCATCTGCAAAACATAAGTGATTTAGCTTGATCCCCCTACATTTCGGATGATATCCAAACTCCCTCATATCAGCCACTTTGTTCAGAATTCTAGTTAGGTACTGCATACAAATTACAAAGAGTAGTGGTGAAATGGGATCCCCTTGTCTTAGCCCTCTTTTCCCTGTTATGTTCCCATACAGTCCTCCATTTATTGCAATACTATATTTGGTGGTTATTATGCAGGCCATTATCCACTTAATGAATCTCTGAGGGAAATTCATTGCGTGCAACATCTCTTCCACAAACAACCACTCTACACTATCATATGCTTTCCTCAAGTCAATCTTGATTAAGCAGCTCTGAGTAGTATTCTTTCTTTTGTACAGTCTTACCAGATCTTGACATATCAGTATATTTTGTACTATTGTTCTTCCTGCTACGAATGCACTCTGATTAGCTGAAATCAGAGTAGGTAGTACCCTTTTTAATCTGTTGCACAACATCTTCGATATCACATTGTAAATTGTATTACATCCTGCAATAGGTCTGTTTTCTCCTACATTAGTTGCATATGAACTCTTCGGGATAATTGTGATTACTGTATGGTTCAGAACTTTCATCATCTCCCCTGTTCTAAAAAATTTCATTACAGCATCTACTACATCTTTCCCTGTGATCTCCCAACTATCCTTGAAGAACTTACTTCTATAACCATCTGGCCCTGGTGCTTTGTCTCCATTGATTGCCCATAGAGCTGTTTTTACCTCCTTTTCTGTAAATTCCTCCTCTAGCATTCTTCTTTGTCTTTCTGTAACTGTTGGCCCTTGTTGTATCAGTCTGCTATTGACATGATCCCTTTGTCTGTTGTTGGTGCCCAGTAGGTTGGTATAAAACTCAGTAAAAGCTTCTGCAATTTCCTCCATTTTAGCTCTTTGGATTCCTTCTGCATCTGTTATTGAAAACACCCTGTTCATGTTCCTTCTTGCTTTCATCATACTGTGAAAATATTTGTTATTGAGATCCCCTTGCTCCAGCCATTGCACTTTGCTTTTCTGTCTCAAAAATTGATTCTTTGCCTCATTTAATCTCTTTGTTTTCCTGATTAGTCTAGCTTCTTCCTTCTGTAGGTCCACATTCAGTAGTGTTTGCTGCATCCTTTGTTTACATTGCATTAGCTCCTCATATGCTTGGTCAACATTTTTCTCTATTTGGCTAAATTTCCCTGTTCAGCTGCATTAGTTTCCCCTTCAAATTATTTAACTTCCCCACTAGCTCATACATTTTGGTCCCCTTCTTATTGGTTTTCCGTCCTTGCTTCACTGTCTCCTTATAACTTGGTGCAATGCTCCACATATTAAAATATCTGAATATGTGTTGCTTCTTCTGAAGTTCAGCCCATCTGATTATTGCAGGGAAATTGTCATAGGTCCCCTCACTCCTGTAGAACACCTCTGAGTCTGGCATTGTTAATATCCAGTCATTGTTGATTAGCACTCTATCAATCCCGCTGTACACTCTATCTGCACCTCCCTGCTTATTGTTCCAAGTATAGAATGCCCCAGAAGATTTCATTTCTTGTAGTATACATTTTGTCACACATTCCTTAAAATCTCTTATTTCTGCCATTGTAATTGGACTCCCAATCATTTCCTCTTTATGCAAGACACATTAAAGTCTCCCATTATTGCCCATGGTTCAGCCATCTGATCATTTATCTCCTTAATATCTTCCCAAAGTTTCCTTCTTAAAGCAGCATCATTGAATGCATACACCATTGTTACTGAGAATTTCCTGCCATCTCCCTTATGATGAACTCTACAGTGGATTAACTGTTCTGTTACTTTACAAATACTTATGTCATATACCATCGGTTTCCATAATATCCATATTCTTCCTCCATTATGCTGACTTAAATTTGTACTATAACTCTATGCATTGCATAGGTTAAGAGCAGCCTTTTGAGCTTTAGCTCTCTTAACCTTTATTTCCAAGAGGCCAAATAATCCAACCTGGGAATTATGCATAAACAGATTTATATCCTTCTGTTTATCTGGATTATTTATCTCCCTGGTATTCCAAAATCCAATTTTATCCATTCTTTGGTGGGCTTCCCCCTCTCTTGTCTTCTTCAATCCCTTTTTTCCCTACCACTCCCTTTTCCATTGTTACCACCTGTTGTCCTGACTGACTTGTGCTTGCCATATCTTCTGCTTGTTGTTGCCCTAGTGTATCAAATGTATTTCCTATCTTCAATGGTACTTCTTGCACTACCACTGCTTTCCTCACATATTTCCCCCTCTAAATTCAAATTTTGTTCTAGATTCTTGCCCCTTTTTGTTTGCTTGTTATTCCTAGGGCTGTCAAATTTGGCCCAAGCCCAAATGACCCGTCCAAGGTTGGGTTGGTTATTGACCCGCCCATTTATTGAACTTATCCCATCTTGACGCAACCCATCTCAACCCATTTAAAGTTGTGCTAATTTTTAGCCCAAATAGATCCATGAGTAAGTTTGTCAAAATATCTTAGAAATAATTTTATTTTTTGTTCAATATTTTAAATATGATCATAACAAAAGCAAAAAAGCCTTATTTAGTAATTATACAATTTATAAGAAAATAACACATTAATTAAAGTTTAACAAGAGTTGGGCGGGCTGGATTATGACCCGAATTTTAACCCATCTTGACCCAACCCATCTTAGCCCAAGTAACTTTTAGGCGAGCCATTTGACCCGCCCAATTATTGACTCAACCCATTTTGACCCGCCCAAAATTGACCCAACCCGCCCATTTGACACCCCTAGTTATTCCCCTGCTTTTCTTGCTGTTGTTGTTCTGTTCCTTTCTGTTGTGCTTGATTATTCTGACTGTGTCCCTCTTCTTTTTGTTGTACTTTCTGCTTCTGTATTGTTTGCTGTTTCTCTTTTTCCTCCTGTATATATCTCCTACACTCATACATGTCATGTCCATAGTTCTTACATTTTCCACATAGAACTGGTTTCCATTCATAATGAATCTCCTATTCAATTATTTTCCCTGTCTCATTCTCAAATCTTATGCTTGTTGGATACTGCCGATTCAATTTTACCTCAACTAGTACTCTTGCATAGGCCAGTCTATCTCTGTTAGTGGTAGCTGCATCTGCCTTTTAATGGTTTTCCAATCAACCCCGCAATTTTTGTAAGTGCAGCTTGCCCCCAATATTCAATCTCACCCAAATTGGAATGTTCTCCATCTGCTCCTTTTTGATTTCCATATCTGGCTTCCATGGCTTAACTATCACTGGTTTTCTATCAAACATTTGCACTCCTTCTTCCACTGCTTTACTTCTACTCTCAATACTGTGAAATCTCACAAGGAACACTCCCCTATTGAGTTGTGCTACCTTGTCTATCCCCAAAGCTCCCCAAATTCTCCTGAAATACCAATCAATTACTACTTGTGGTGGATTCGATCCTAGAACATAACATACAACAGTTGTTGTCCAGTAATCTACCTCATCTTTGATATCCGCCATTGTTGTTTTTACATTTTGCTCTGTAACTTCCGTCATTAGGTCTAAACCTTCCTCTATCGGTATTGTACCCACAATATTACTCCATGTTTTAGTACTTGAGTCTAGGGTTTTAGTCAAACCTGTACTTTTGCTCATCTTTTCTTCCTCATCAGCTCGATCTGCCCATGACGCCCTACTCGCCATTGTTATTTCCTCGCTCGCTCCCTTTGGTGTGGTAGGATTTGAGATCTGATTGACATCCAAAGGTATTATTCCTTGGATCGAATTAATGCTTTTCACTTTCCTCGCCTCTCCGGACTGTGGAACTCCTATGCACACTGAATTCGATGTCTGACTTCCATGGATCTGCTGACTTCCGCCTCTATTCCTCGATTTTCTCGCCATTTCAGCTGCTGCTGAGAGAGAATCGCATTCTAGAGAGAGAAAGTTCCGAATGACAACCACGACTATCTGCCACGTATTCTTGGACGGTTGTCGGCTTTACAAGTAGAAGCTCATTGCCCATGTCTCCTTCTTTAAGTTATTTTTTTTTCATATTTTTTCACAAAGAATTAGTGATTTTTCTTACAAGATTCAGTTTTCTTTATGAAAATATTAGAGACATAAAAAAAAAATTACTAATAAGATTTGGGGGCCCCAATTTTTGAGGGGCCTAAAGCAAGGGCCTCACTTGCTTGACTCTTGAGCCGCCCTTGATGTTATATACGAAAATTATATAAGATTTATACATTTTTCCAGTGACAAATATAATTAATTTTTGGCACGAACTAATATAATACTAATACCCACAAAAAATATTATAGTGTATTTTACTAAAGATTGGGATAAAAAATCTCATCATTACCTTTTATTTAATGCGAAGCCGATATGACTGCTACTTTTGTTGTCATAGCAAAATTTTGGGGTTTCCTAAAGATTTTAGTTTACTCGATCCTTCTCTATTTTTCATTATTATCTTGTTTGATTTGATTATACTCTATTGAATTATTTTCAATATTTTTACAACAATAACAGCCATGCATGCATTGTTAGAAAAAAGACATTAGTAGGGAAGTTAGTTCATAAATAGTTCATATCCATATGCATTGCAAACTACCTACTTCATCAATTTGTTATTCAGACAATAATTAATTCATTCTTTGATTGTTAAATATTTTCTCTTTCAATACGTATTAAGAACTTTCCAACAGGTTTATCTGCTTTTCTAGAAGGCAGAATAGCCTAGGAGACACCTGTACTTGTTCCGGTTTGTCATCCCGGTCCCTACACTCCATAAAGTTTCATCCAGGCACTTCAACTTAATCAAAACAAGACTTTTAAACACCTCCGGAATCGTGTGATGCTCACTTGCTTGACGTGGATGACAAATCAGCATCCACATCAGATTCTACGCCAAAATAATATTATTTAACAAAATTTTAATTTCATAAACAAAAAATAAAATAAAAAAGCAAAAAATTAAAATTAAAATTAAAGAAAACCCCTCCTCCCTTCTTCAAAATAACCCACCTACCATGGCTCCTCCACCATGAATACCACTACTTCCTTCACTCCTCTTTTAAAGAAAGTTATCTATCCATGAAAAACACATGAGTAAAAGAATTTAAGTCTTTTGAATTTTTGACTTATTNGAATCGTGTGATGCTCACTTGCTTGACGTGGATGACAAATCAGCATCCACATCAGATTCTACGCCAAAATAATATTATTTAACAAAATTTTAATTTCATAAAGAAAAAATAAAATAAAAAAGCAAAAAATTAAATTAAAATTAAAGAAAACCCCTCCTCCCTTCTTCAAACCCCACTCAACCTTCTTAAAAGAATAACCCACCTACCATGGCTCCTCCACCATGAATACCACTACTTCCTTCACTCCTCTTTTAAAGAAAGTTATCTATCCATGAAAAATACATGAGTAGAGAATTAAGTCTTTTGAATTTTGACTTATTCCTCTACCCCAATTTGGAAGGTCTGTGAAAAAATTTGAAAGCTAAAATCACCGGAAAAAATAGAGGAGTCATAAAGAAGGGGAAGATGACATGATGGAAGAGGAAATACACACCAAGGAGAAAATCTAATAAAAGAAGGGATAAAGAAAAAGGGGAAGGGAGGGGATCTAAAGAAGAAGATGAGGAGAAGAGGGGGGGTCAGAACGAAGGGGGAGGGGGGCTGAAGAAGAATAAGAGGGGGGAGGGGGGGCAGAATGAAGGGGGAGGGATGCGAAGAAGAAGAGGAGGGGGGGGATGGGGTGCACAACGAAGGGGGAGGCGCTGCTAGTGTATTTTTATTTATTTATTTATTTATTTTTATTTTTTTAATAAAAAAGAATCATCAGCTCACGCACCTAATGTGCGTGTAAATCACTCATTTTGTCCACTTCAGCCATATTAATGCCACATAAGCTCGGTCAACGGTCAGAAGGGTTTAAAAGTCTTGTTTTGATTAAGTTGAAGTGTCTGAATGAAACTTTATGAAGTGTAGGGACCGGGATGACAAACCGGAATAAGTACAAGTGTCTCCCAGGCTATTCTGCCTTTCTAGAAACCTGTAGGCTGTAACTGGATTTATTACTTAATTAACTTTATTAACTATGGAAATTAGTTGTCGACCAAATTCTTGATATTCCTAACATTGATAACATACACGTGCCTTAGGGTTAAATTTTTTACTACAAACAGGAGATCTCTTAGGGTTAAAATTTGGGGTATTACCGCTCCTAGCACGCGCCAAAAACGATTTCTATTCAGTAGACGAAAAAATATACTATAAAATTTGTATAACTTTTGTATATAACATACAAAACAAATTTATATACCAAATATATATATTTTTTGGCTATTATGCGAGAGCAGCTATATAATGTAATTTTCCCTTAAAAAATTGTGAAATTACGTTGGTATCTTCACTACAATATTCTTAAATCTTTCGACTTTTTGTACATTATCTCTTTTCTTTAAAGTTATCTTCTTCCCAATAACTATTGTATTTTTCCTAAAACTCTTGTACGTTACTATTTTCCATAAAGAAATTCTTTAAATTAAAGTATTATCAAAATTAATCATTGTGTAGGGATATTATTCGAAATTGAGTTTGTATGTGTTTATTAAA